TATTGTCTCTCAAAAGAGAGAGTCGATTCTGAATCGCCTTAACGAGTCGTCATATTTTCGAATCTTTTGCCTGTTACCAGTATACGTCACTGGGTAACACATTTGCATAATCCCCGCCTGCCCGCGGAATACGAACAGAGTCTGACCTGCCCACAAACACTTCCGCTAGTTAGTGTGTTTATATCATGTTGAGAAGACGCTGTGTTCAAGGATACCACAGAAATACAATTCCAACCTTTTGTTGTGTGCTTGTCGTTTTACCAAGGATTGCTTTTCTAATCTTGGCTATTATCTTCGTTGGCTTCTAATCTTCTTAATTTGGACTAACAAATACGTTAGTACGATTGATACGTTATGTGTACATTTTCAATTGAGTGCTCAAAATATCAAGTTTTTGTGCTAATATGCGCTTGCTTAAGTGTTTTTGTATTTTATGTCATTATTATAAGAACGGATTGGAGCACTATTTTATTGTTTTATGTAAAGGTGCTTTGTCAATGGTAGCGCTCGCTAACTTGCTCAAGGACTCCTCTCTGTGCCAATCACAACAGGCTTGGCCAGCTGACCAATCAGAGCAGAGTAGGCTTATGGAAGGGAGGGGTTTGCTCCGAACTTGCTTGGAACGAATCGTGTCGAAATCATTGGCAAATGACTCTAATATTAAATGTATATTCTGAGAAAATTACAATGTTTTCTGACCTTAGATGCATTTAAAGCTGTTGTACGGGACTCCCACACAATATTAGGACACTTTAAAATACCATCTGACCTGCTCTTTAAAAGATCTCTGATGATTAGTTATGTGCTTCACTACATGAAAAAGTCAGGTCTAGTTCTCTGCATGCATTACATTGATCAAAAGTGATTGTAAAGACATCAAATGTAACAGAAGATTTCTAATAAATTTCAAATAAATGCTGTTCTTTTGAACTTTCTATTGATCAAATAATTCAGGATTTTTTTTTCAACACAAAAATGTAGCACAACTGTTTTAAACTGATAATAATAAGAAATGTGTCTTGATCACTAAATCAGCATATTAGAATGATTTCTGTGAATAACGACTGGAATAATGAAGCTGAAAATTCAGCTTTGCATCACGGGAATGAATGAAATGAATAAAACAATTCTTTTAAAAACAATAAAAAATAAAACTATTCTTTTAAAAAGAATTTAAAAAAAAATCTTACTGACCCCAAACTTTTGAACAGTAGTGTGTTATCTTATCACCCTAAAGTGGTTTATTTGTTGACATTGACCAGCTGACTACAGTATCCTGCATATTACATGGCTGTTTAGCAAATAACTTGACCTGATCTACACCCAAGAGAGCCCAGGCACTTCCCACCAGGCCACATTTCTGTCAAACACACTCATTTACACTGGTTTCATCATGGTGTTGTGTCAAAGACAGAGGCCTCATGTTGTGGTCAAATCTTTCATATGACACAAACACGGTTTGCCTTTTCCTCATGGCTTCTGTTATCCTGCTAAGCTGAGAGCGAGGTCTATACCCTGCCTGTCACATCAGTGTGAAGCCAACTTCACCAAGAGTCTCCCATGATACCCGTGGATAAGAGTAAACAGCAGGGGGTCACTGGAAGCTGAAGGTGTTTTAAGTCAAGTTGAAAGACAAAGTTGCAACATGAGCAGTTGACATGATGAGTAATTTCACTGTCCTTCTCAATAAATAAGGCTTTTATATTTTCATTATTCAGATAGACAGCAGTTTTGTCCATAAAAATAAATGATGTATTTTTAATTATATGTTTTATGCTAATGTTCAAAAGTTTGGGATAGGTATGATTTTTGTAAATGCTTATGCTCACAAATGCTGCATTTTGACTTTAGCAAACAAATACATTAAAATCTGTAATATAAAATATTACTTAAATGTTCATCAGTCATTACACATCAGACTTCAGAAATCATTCTAATATGCTGATTTGCTGCTCAAGAAATATTTATTTTTATTATCAAACAATACTTTTTATTGTCTTATCATTACTATTATTTTGTGGGAACAAAGATACTTTTTTCAGGATTCTTTGATAAATAAAAAGTTAAAAAGAACAGCATTTATTTTTTCAAAGTCTTTACTGTCACTTCAACTTAATGTATCCTTGCTTACTACCAAGTATTAATTTCTTTAAAAAAAAAATCTTAATGACCCAAAAGTTTTGAAAGGTTGTGTGTTGTGTGTTTGTGTATAGAAACATCAAATAAACGTTTTGAAAATAGATAAATTCATGGATATTTCATGGATAACAGACAAAAAAAAAAAAAAAAAAGACATGTGAAGCCTTAACCAGAATCTCAATGTTCTTGTTTCTACAGGAATTTGTAAGCATGTCCAGACAACTTCTGGATGACCATGAGCTCCAGGAAAGACTGGTGAGAAACGGAAAGAATTTCATTACAACTTGCCACAACCCGATGACGGAGAGAATAGCCTATCAGAAACTGGTGGAGACTCTTCACTGACAGTTTGATGGGACTAACATTTGTCTCAGGTCTTTAAGAACTTTAACTTTAAGAGCTCTGTGCTCTTTCTAGAGCTTTTGACTGCATTGCATATTTCAGTTGGATATGCAAGCCTCTCTCCCATGACTGCCAAGAAAATGGTGGCCATTTGTCTCTAAAGTAGGATAAACAGGAAAGATATATTTATAGGACGTTGACTTCTTTTGTTTCACCAGGTATAAAAGGGACATACATTTTACTATACATTTAGCGAGTGTTTAAATGACAATTTATCAGGTCTTGGAACAAGGACAGGTGACCGATCTGGCAGTTTTTCTTTTTTGAGGGGTAGTAATTTATCTAGAAGCGTGTACCTGACATTAATTCGACACTGCACAAGGCCAAGCTCTTGCTGTGTGCACAGACAGCTGCATGTTTGCAAGTGTTGGTGTTCTACTTTTGTTGTGTTGCTTGTTTGTAGTGAAGATTGGGTATAAAAGTGCCAGTGTTACCACAGTGGTTCTGAGTTTTCTGGGTTAAAGAATGTTGACATTACTTTGCTAGCAAGAAAGTTTCCTAGTCTTAGGAGGATCTCAGCTTGAACTGAACAGACAGCCTGTGTTCATGTGTGCATATGTGATATGACATGACAGGCAAGACATACAATTAACTAAAAATGTCTAAAATGTACTATATTTGATTTTACTCAACAAATGTAAGGTATGAGGTGGGAAATCCACTCAAATAGATGCCAGATCCAGTTTCAGAGGTGCTACATTTAGCTTGTTTGGAACAAACTACATCCTGCTATTAATGTAGTAAAATTTAGTTTTAAAAATTTTAAACTGTGTCAAGGCCAAGATTTACAGGCTTAATAAACTCCAAAGACAATTCTCTGTTTGTCATAAGCTGATTCAGCTGCCAAACTGGTTTTTCTCTTAAGCCCAGATGAACAACAGTGATGCTGTCTGTACAAGAAATGAAACACAAGATTGTTTTTAAAGGACACATTTATTCTTTGGAGTAATTTTAATTTATTCATGAAAGTTACTTTGTTCGGGGATTAAGGTTTGTGTTTAGAGGTTTTGCTAAACATATTATAAAATATTTATTCTGTTTGTAACTAAGACTGTATGTCTCAAATCTTAAACCATGACTTTCTATGATTGTATCTACATTTCTTTTACTTTCATGGCACAATAAAATATACTGTAAACACTTGTATACAAACTTCTGTTGAATTTCAGTTCATCTATAGAGGTACAGTAAAATATATACATTAGTGGTGCTCTGAACTCATTTACATTTTTGGCCTGTGTGTGGTCTCAGCCATATGTTTGCACCAGAATATTTTTACATTGTGAGAAAATTGTCCAACGCTTATGTGGAGTTTTGTATGGGTAAGTGCCACTCATTTTCTTCAGAAAATGTAAAATATGTTTTTACTACTATTTTCAATTACCTCCACACCTGGAGTTACCACACATGTTTTTACCAATATGAAAACCTGGGACATGCCAACAGTGCTTTATATTTGAGTACTGAAAGATAACAGATTACAAAAAATAAAAACCACCATTCATTTACAATGAAATGGTTTTTATTTCATATACACTCTTAAAAATAAAGGTGCTTCACGATGCCATAGAAGAACCTTTTTGTCTAAATGGTTCCATAAAGAACCTTTAACATCTGAAGAACCTTTCGGTTTCACAAAAGGTTCTTTGTGGCGAAAGAAGGTACTTCAGATTATAAAAAGGTAAGAAAGAAATGGTTCTTTAAAGAACCTTTGACTGAATGGTTCTTTCTGGAACCAAAAATGGTTCTTCTATGGCATCGCTTGAAGAACCTTTTGAAGCACCTTTATTTTTAAGAGTGTAGCACAAAGCACTGAACGTGGCTTTATCGTGTGGCTTTTTAATGGAAAATGAAAAAATTGAATGTACATATAAATGCAGGGTGCTAAAATATCTTCAAAGTGAACTTTTATCTGTACAATAATCACATGCACTTTTGTATAAAAAAATGGAAGGATGCAGAGTAGCAGTCAAACAGAAGATATCAGTGTAATGAAGTGTTATCTCAGAGTTTGGCTTTATAGAAAGAATGACAATTTACTAAATCTTTAAATCCCCCAATGAAAACTCATTGAGAAAGCCAAA